TTTAGCTTTAGCGCTTCATTTAATATGTACAGCTTACAAATGTTTAATAAAGCACACTTAACTAACCTGACAGAGGGTATAAAAAAAAAAAAAAAAAAAATATGTATATGATATCTTATTTTTTATTGATAGTATTTTGAAACATGCAAATTTTGTTGATGTATATTCATATAGTTTTTTTGTGTATTTGAATTTAAAATGTTTGTGAATGTATGAGAAAGAAAAAGTTAATATTTCTATTAATATACACGCCTCATATTTATTGCATGTTCATTCACGCAATCTTTCCGAATCTTTATAATTTTCACAATTAACTTCTTATTTAATTATCCGATTAAAGTAGAAAATGCAAATATTATGATCGATAGTAATTCAAAATCCTTGTCATAAGACATCTAACTAATCACGCAATCATCCCGCTTTTGTTTCTTTTCATTGATAGGGGTACCTTTTAGTCGTTGCAGAGCTCGTTTATCACCATGTTCGGCAGCGAGTCGATACCACCTATCCGCTTCCTCTTGATTTTTCTTGACACCAATGCCAACTTCAGTAAAATATCCTACTGCATACTCAGCTTTTGGTAAACCTTTATCTGCCGCGCGTTTAGCCCAAAGATAGGCTTCAGTATCGCTCTGGGGCAAAATTCCAGGACTACCAACTAAATACCAAGCCGTCAGTGCAAAGCAAGCCTCTCGATGATCTTGTTGAGCTGCGATGGTATAGTAGTGAATAGAAAGTGCTGCATCCTGTGGGCAACCCATTTTTCCATATTCATAATATTCACCCAGTTTAAAAGCGGATGGTGCATAATTTAGGTTGGCAGCATCTATTAGCAGCCGAACAGAGTACTCTATATCAACATATAAGAAATTTTCAACACCTTTTTCATGAAGCTCCGATAACTCGTGTAAAGCATGTGGGAATTCCTCATTCGCAGCTTCAGCAGCTCTCTTAAGCCATTTAACACCATCACGAGGATTCTTTGATAGACCACATTCGCCTCTCAATTCTGCAATACCCAATCGATACATCGCACCAGGATGGCCTGCGGAAGCTGATTTTCTATCGAAAAAAGAAATTAAAAATCAAGAGTGAATTAAACAATCAAATATCATAATTTGAATGATGATCACGATCTATTGTCAGATAACAGATATCCATACTTGTAAAACTGTAAGGCCTTGGCATAGTCTCTTCGACAACCCCAACCATGCTCATAGCATACAGAAGCACGATAAGCGGCATCGGCGTGACCATGTTTACTTGCCTGAACAAACAATTGAAAGGCTTTGTCAAGGTCTGGTTTATTTTTTGCCGTACCGATAGCACTGGCATAACAATCGGCGAGGAAATATTGAGAGTTCGCGTGACCCCTGTCGGCGAGTCTTTTTAGCAAAGCTATACCTTCTTTAACGAGCTCGTCCCTTTTTTTGGCGTCCTCCTCGGTCATTGCCCTCGAAGCTTCGACCATGAATGCGGCAAATTCGAACTGAAGATCTGGGTCATTTGTTTTTTTCGCATTTTGACGATATAGTTCTAGCGTTTGCGAATGTGAAAGTAAAGATGCTTTATGACCGGGTTTGAGATGGGAGTGATCAAGCAGGGGACTCTCTGCTGGCATAACGAATGAAGAAGGCCTGGGGGAACCGTCTGGAGGTGCAAGAGACATTTTGAAAGAGCTGTTTAAGATAAAAAAATTGGTAACAACAGCTTGATATTTATGTATGCTTCAAAAAAAACTAGAATTTAAAAATTGTTAAGCTGATGTATAACATAGTACACGGAAGATTATTTATATTTTGACATAATGGTCCAAAAAAAAAGATGGCCAATAAAAATGCGGATGTAATAACGAACCAACGATTACAAATTTGCAAAGCTGCACTAGGCTTAAATAAAATTCGGAGTGGAGGATTTTTAAGATCTCACATACCTTCAATTAAATATCACAAAATGTAAATTAATTGATTCAAAAGGGACACCTTTATGGGCTTGCAAAACAAACGAATGTTTATGTATTTATCCTTATAGCGAAATGGAATCGTAATATGCTGGTAATGATAAGCTATGAAGGTTAATAATGTATGATCGAGTTTATTAGATAAACAATTTATGGTGTATAGCGTATAAGATACGTTCTGTTTGCCTAATGGTGATAAAGTGAATAATGACGCAATGTCTTTAAGATTTACCTAGTTTAAATATAATGTTCTCAAATCATACTATATAAAGTGTACTAGTTCTCCTGGAACCATATGAAAATTTGAAATATACGTTGGTGTCGAAAATAGAAAAAATTTTCAGATTTATAATTTTAGTAGCGGAAAACTTCACGCTTCGTCTTCAAGAATAACCATCTATTTATATAAAGGCACAAGTACAGTATATTAATAATAAAATTTAATATATTGCTTATTAATTGTTCAAAAGGAAAATTTTGTCCAACATTAAATAATTCTACCTGGATTTAATTATTATTTATTTATTTATTTATTTTGCAATATCTGTAACCAGGCTCAACACGGTATATATTATAGCTACAGTAAATTATTTATCAAGTCTAACAAACTTGTTATAAACAATAATAGCCTCTACGCTTGGCCTTGGGAACAATATTTTTGCTCCGTAATAGAATTTGGATTGGAATTATATATGCGATTGAGATTATTTAATTAACTTTTTCAATTAATTGTATTACTATAAAAAGAATAAGTTGAATATTTGAAAACATACAAGTATATAACAATAATAATAATTTATTCAGCTTTTTTCAAATATTTATTTCTTAAAATATCTTCTCAATAAGAAATATTCTATTGGAATATCTTAATAATTTAAAAATTTTATCTATTATCAAAAATCTTTATAATATATAATCTAAAGATTTTATTATCTAAAAATCTAATTATAATAAGATAAAAATTATTATTAAACTTTGTCTAATTGAAATAATAAGAATAAAAAAATCATAAACTAAATAATTACTATTTATTTATTACTTGAAAACTTATTGCTCAAATTTTATTAATTTTATAAAACTTGAAATATAAATTAATTTATTTAAAAAAATAAAATAGAATTAAAACATTAATTAAAAAAATTTTTTTATTTTTTTTTATTTTTATTATTATTATTTTTTTTAAATCACAATCATGTCACGATGGCTTGTCTTTATTGAAAAATTGAAGTAAATCTACAATATTTTACAGACTTTCACAAAGTGACTAACTTGTCTTCATAAAAAAGTACTCTAAGTTAGATTTTGGAGACAATATTATACTCCTCTAATAGATTGGTAATAATCTCTATCTACCAGGATCATTGCCAACAGTTTGTCACTATTGATTATGCGAAAACCAATAAATTACTAAGTTAAAAAAAGGGAATGGGAAAAAATAATTAGGGAAAGGGAACAATTCAAAGTCTACAAAAAAAAATCCAAAAATAAAAACAATCTCTTCTTAAAAGGAATCTGTCTAATTAGGATAGTCTTCTTGTTTCACTTGAACCTCGAAATAAATTTTCTTTTTCATCACCTATAGTATCGGACAAGTCAATTCAACTGATCTTTTATTTAGTGAGTATCAGATTAGGATATCTCAAGAAAAGTATTTAGACCTCAACTTTTTTTTATTAAAGCTTTTTTATCACTTGAGAAACTTAGGTAAAAGATGAGAGTTTGCAATTCACATTACCCATCACTTGATCTTTTGATATTATGGAAGTCTTCATTAAAAAATTTTTTTATTAATAATATTATTAAAGTATATATAAATAATAAAAATTTGGTTTATACAGTATATATATATTTTTTTTAATTTTCCACTGATCCTTTGACCATACATAAAAAAGATGTTTACAAGAAGTTTCTATACTTCTTTATTAATAAAGTCTTAATACTTTAATTAAAACAACTTGAAATATGACTTCAAGAGTTGCTTCTACCTTTTCTCTTTTATTTATAAATCTTTTCACTCAAAAACTTGACTTCAAGTGACCAATAAAAATCAAGTAACACCTTTGATATCAATAACAAGAAAGTTTCTAAAGGAAGAAGAACTGACTATAAAGTACTTGAAGACCTATTTAACCTTTGAAGTGAGAGGTATATAGAGGTTTTTGATAACAGAAGGGCTTATTTTTCCTCTTCCAGTTACTTGTGATCCTCTTAGAGCTATCACTTTCATGGTTTTCTAGGAAATTTTGCCTACCCCAGTTTGATTCTGAATTTTTGGTAGTACAAATCCTTATCAAAAATGATTGGTTGACATAAAACATGTTAGTTTTTAGAATGTAAACAAGCTCCTATTGATCATATTCATGTGTTCCATTGATATTATTAGTGATTGAAAAGAAGATTCTGAAAATGTTTACCTCCAAAAAGCTCAAGTCCCTCAATGAAAACTTCCATGACATCAAAAGATCAAGTAATAGATAATATGGATTGCAAACTCCTATCTCTTACTTAAGTTCCTCAAGTGGTGACAAAGCTTTAATGGAAAAAAGCTGAGATCTAAATACTTTCCTTGAAATATTCCAATTTGATGCTCACTTAAATGAAAGATCAATTGGATTGACTCGTCTAATATTGTCAGTAGTAAAAAAGAAGATTTCTTTCAAGGTTCAAGTAAAGCAAAAAGACTATCACAATCAGGCAGATCTCTTTTGAGAAAAGGTTGTTTTTATTTTTGGATTTTTTTGGTAGGCCTTGAATTGTCCCTTTCTCCAATCATTTTTTCCCTTTTTCTTTTTTAACTTAGCAATTTATTGGTTTTCAGACAATCAATAGTGACAAACTATTGGCAATGATCTTGATAGATAGAGATTATTATCAATTTATTAGGGGAGTGAAATATTGTTCTCAAAATCTGACTTAAAGTACTTTTGTATGAAGATAAGTTAGTCACTTTGTGAAAGTCTGTAAAATATTATAAATTCATTTCAATTTTTCAATAAAGATATGTCATTGTAGCATGATTATGGATTAAAATATATATATATACAGTATGTATACTATATATATATATATTTTAAACCCATGGTCCTATCAATACTATGTATTTATTAATTATTATGAAAACTAATAAAAATATATAGGGCAATTGTATTATGACTAAACTAAAAACTTGTATTGATACATTTATCAATAGCTTTCAATTCTCAAAAGAGCTTCAACCTCTAAGTCAATCTTGAGGACAATATTTCATTCTATGATAAATTTTGAAAAATATCCTTCTAATTTATTCATCATTGCTAACAAGTTATCACTGCTTATTATTCTCCAAGAAATTGTTTTTGAGAAACTACAAAAAGAGAAAGAAAATAAAAGGAAAAAGGAATATCTAAAATTTTGCAAGTACACTACATAAAAGAAAAAATAAAAAAAGAAAAATAAATGTACTCCATATTCTCCAAAGGACCTTTACTAAAAACTACTTTTTATTAGGAGTTAATTCTTTTAGAATATCCTTATTCCTGACTATTTAATGAACTTATCTATCTGTGCTCTTAATTATTTTCTTGCAACTGGCTAAGATATTTATCATCTACTCAGATCCAATATCTTATTCAATGCTTTCTTTCTTTTAGTCTTGATTTTGTATCCATCTGTGCAGAAAAAGATGATTAATAGTAAATTTTAGGTTCTTATATGACTTTTTAGTCTTGTTGAATAATTTCCAATATCTTCTGACAATCATATCTAGTTAAAGAAATTTTACTGATATTTATCTTAATTGTGATATTATTATACAATATCTGAAAAAATGCATTCTCAATCCTAAAAAAGGGCAGTGTTTTACATTCCTCTACTTTTCAGTCTTATAGCCTGACTGGAATAAGAAAATAATCTCCTTCATATACTTTGCCTAACTGGGATAATAAGAAATTGAAGGTCTCAGCTTGAACAAATAATCCTCTTTTCACCACCTAAAAAATTTAGTGTTTATCCTAATGGCCTTATGATTTCTTTGCTTCAATTAAACTTTATTTGAAAGAGTGGAAAAGTTTATATCCTTAATTTCTCTTTTTTCACAATAATGTCATTGGAATACTTGAGTATAGCTAGTAAACCTTGTTTACATTTTGCTATCAATATATTTCATGTCAATCAATCAGAAGTCAAGTAATATTGTACTACAAGAAATTCAGGATCAAGTTAGAATAGGCAAAATTTCTCCAAAAAACTATAAAAAACTATAAACACTCTAAGAGGATAAGAAACAATATATGAGAAGATAGATAATAAGCCTTTTTTTATCTAGAAAACCTCTATCTCCATATTATGTCCAGCTCTGGGAGGTGATACTTCACCAGTTGGTTTTTTTACTTTCTAGAATCTTCTTGCCTTTAGTAGAAAAAGTACATGCTTGAGTCTATTTAAGTTATCAGAAATTCAAGTTTTTGTTTAAAGGAGTTTGTAAACAAGTGAAGAAAGATAATAGTGACTTTTAAAAACAATTTCAAGTTGTTTTAAGAAAAGTGGGAAGACTTTATTAATCAAGAAATATAAAAACTTCTTGCGAATATCTTTTTTGTGCATGATCAGAGGATTAGCAAAAAGAGTTTTGATGAATAAATAAAAATTTGTTTTAAATTTTTTAGAAAAATTAAAAAACTAAATAATCATAAAGGAATATTTATTTATTTATTATTTTATTATAAAAAAAT